CTGGACTACCTAAATAGCATGGTACCATTAGAGTTGGGGTACAGTGAAGTGACACAAGGCTGGACTACCTAAATAGTATGGTACCATTAGAGTTGGGGTACAGTGAAGTGACACAAGGCTGGACTACCTAAATAGTATGGTACCATTAGAGTTGGGGTACAGTGAAGTGACACAAGGCTGGACTACCTAAATAGTATGGTACCATTAGAGTTGGGGTACAGTGAAGTGACACAAGGCTGGACTACCTAAATAGCATGGTACCATTAGAGTTGGGGTACAGTGAAGTGACACAAGGCTGGACTACCTAAATAGCATGGTACCATTAGAGTTGGGGTACAGTGAAGTGACACAAGGCTGGACTACCTAAATAGCATGGCTATTGTCAATGCTAAGTGATATTCAGTGTTCAAAGATAAGGTCATTTTAGGGTCAAGTTCATAGAAAGTTCATTCTACTTAACTTTTTAAATACCCTTAAGTGGCGAGACCATAAGTTCAATGTAACACTGATTATTGATGTGTTGTACAGCAAAGGATGGTGACCAACTCAAGGACACCGCTATAGAGGCCACAACACGACTGAAACAGGCGCTTACCAACGAAAGGGAAGCAAAGCTGAGGCTGCAGGATGACCTTGATAGGACAAAGGTCAGTTTGGCTGTAACTATGGTAAAGGGTTTGGGTAAATGGAGGATTTTATTATTTTCTTTATCAAATGTTCGATACACTTTAACAAATGTGATTTGAGGGAAACTACAAGTTAAAACATTTGTAAATTATTGTGTGTTATTATAAACAGGTTATTGACATTGGCATATAGTGTTTGGTATTTGTTACAGCTGTAACTGACCTCATCTTTAAAAACCTAGCTTACATTAAAACATCAGAAACATCAATTTAAACTTTGTACAAACATCTGTAACATTCTAATAGCTTTTAGCATTATAACAACATCAGTGACATCCTAATAGCTTTTAGCATTATTACAACATCAGTGACATCCTTACAGCTTTTAGCATTATTACAACATCAGTGACATCCTAATAGTTTTAGTATTATTACAACATCAGTGACATCCTAATAGCTTTAAGTATTATTACAACATCAGTGACAGGTTAGCAATACAGGTCCTCTGGACTTCTTGTTTTGAAAAAGATTCAATTGTTACTACTAATAGTTCCCTCATATTATCGTATATATTCGTATATTATGAGTGAGCATTCTTTTAGGGGAAAATGAAAATGATGATCTCAAGAAAGAGGTGCGCACTATACACAAGACCAATCCAAAACCAGTCCTGTGTCAATGGGACCATTTATCGTAAACCAGTCCTTGGTCAATGGGACCATTTATAGTAAACCAGTCCTGTGTCAATGGGACCATTTATAGTAAACCAGTCCTGGGTCAATGGCACCATTTATGGTAATCCAGTCCTGGGTCATAGGTCCATTTATAGTAAACCAGTCCTGTGTCAATGGGACCATTTATAGTAAACCAGTCCTGGGTCAATGGGACTATTTATCGTAAACCAGTCCTGGGTCAATGGGACCATTTATCGTAAACCAGTCCTGGGTCAATGGGACCATTTATTGTAAACCAGTCCTGGGTCAATGGGACCATTTATCGTAAACCAGTCCTGGGTCAATGGGACCATTTATTGTAAACAAGTCCTGGGTCAATGGGACCATTTATAGTAAACCAGTCCTGGGTCAATGGCACCATTTATCGTAAACCAGTCCTGGGTCAATGGGACCGCATTTATCGTAAACCAGTCCTGGGTGATTGGGACCATTTAACGTAAACCAGTCCTGGGTCAATGGGACCATTTATTGTAAACCAGTCCTGGGTCACTGGGACCGCATTTATCGTAAACCACTCCTGGGTAAATGGGACCGTTTATCGTAAACCAGTCCTTGGTCAATGGGACCGCATTTATCGTAAACCACCCCTGGGTCAATGGGCCCATTTATTGTAAACAAGTCCTGGGTCAATGGGACCATTTATCGTAAACCAGTCCTGGGTCAATGAGACCATTTATCGTAAACCAGTCCTGGGTAAATGGGACCATTTATCGTAAACCAACCCTGGGTCAATGGGACCATTTATCGTAAACCAGTCCTGGGTCAATGAGACCATTTATCGTAAACCACTCCTGGGTAAATGGGACCATTTATCGTAAACCTGTCCTGGGTCAATGGGACCGTTTATAGTAAACCAGTCCTGGGTCAACGGGACCGCATTTATCGTAAACCAGTCCTGGGTCAATGGCACCATTTATTGTTAACCTGTTCTGGGTCAATGGGACCATGTATAGTAAACCTGTCCTTGGTCAATGAGACCATTTATAGTAAACCAGTCCTGGGTCTATGGGACCATTTATTGTAAACAAGTCCTGGGTCAATGGGACCGTTTATCGTAAACCAGTCCTGGGTCAATGGGACCGCATTTATCGTCAACCTGTTCTGGGTCAATGGGACCATGTATCGTAAACCTGTCCTTGGTCAATGGGACCATTTATAGTAAACCAGTCCTGGGTCAATGGGACCGCATTTATCGTAAACCAGTCCTGGGTCAATGGGACCGCATTTATCGTAAACCAGTCCTGGGTCAATGGGACCATGTATCGTAAACCAGTCCTGGGTCAATGGGACCATTTATCGTAAACCAGTCCTGGGTCAATGGGACCGCATTTATCGTTAACCAGTCCTGGGTCAATGGGACCATTTATCGTAAACCTGCAGTCCTGTGATTTTTGGAAATGTTTTAAAATATACTTGCAGCAATATAGTGGCAAAATGTTGTGTAATAACTCCTGACTGCCTTGTCTATTTCACCATGACAAAATGTTGTGAGTTAAGGTCATATTACATGATAGAATCAGATAAATAAACTTGTACAGTAGGCCTTATAAACTTGTACAGTAGGCCTTATAAACTTGTACAGTAGGACTAATAAACTTGAACAGTAGGCCTAATAAAGGCCTAATAAACTTACAGTAGGCCTAATAAACTTGTACAATAGGCCGAATAAACTTGTACAGTAGGCCTAATAAACTTGTACAGTAGGCCTAATAAACTTGTACAGTAGGCCTAACTTTCAGGTCTCTTCGACGTTATGTTGTGAATTGATTAAACCAGCGATTGGGAAAATATCCCGTGGAATTGCATCACAATTGGTACTCTGAGATACTGAAATATTCAATCTTGACAGTTCAAATGTGCCAAAACAACATGTGCCAAAATGACATGGGGAAAGTCTTGAAGTTCGCTGGTTTTGTGTACTGCAAAGAGTCAAAGTTGTGTGATACTGTTCACCTTCAGGGGGAAAAAAATCACTCAAAAAGTAACTGCGCACTATACACGAGCGCACACAATAAGCGAAAATTTAAATATAATTAGTAAATATTTTTAAGTACAGAAAGAAACAATCATAATAACTCATATTTGTTTTGACCCAAATCAACTGTGAAGGAAAATAATTCTATTGGTCTTATCCTGTTCCATTCTCACATTCAAATCCTTGTGAATTATAGTCACAAAAACTAACAAGTTTATATTATTTGGTGAAAATAAAATCTCTGAAAAGGTCTTCCTAAGTCCATATGTATTTTCTTTTACATAGATTAGATGAAGTTCATTGTATTTATACCCATATTTGGCTACAAACTAAACCACAGTCGTGTACATGTGTTGTTGACAGTGCCTCGTAATCAGTGGCACTATAAAACGGGTGATTAAGGGAAAATAGATGATTAGTGCCAGGATGAAAGTCTTTTTGATTAATTGTTATGAAGTTATTAAAAACATGATAAAAAGCTCTTTTCTTTTAGGTGCACCTACAGGAAGGGTCTAGACAGCTTTCAGTTGCTAAGGAAGCGGAGGAAAGTTTGAAAAGGAGTCTCCGTAACCTGGAGGAAGTCACCGCCAAAATGGAACGTGAAACACTGCAACAGCAGACACATGAGGTGATTAGTGGAGTATCTATAACAGAGGCTTTCAAAGTATCCCCAGCTTACTGCCAACGCAAACACTTTTCTGCCGACACAAATACCCAGCTTACTGCCAACACAAGTACCCAGCTTACTGCCAACACAAACACTTTACTGCCAACGCAAACACTTTACTGCCGTCACAAATACCCAGCTTACTGCCGACACAAATACCCAGCTTACTGCCGACATAAACACTTTACTGCCGACACAAATACCCAGCTTACTGCCGACACCAATACCCAGCTTACTGCAGACGCAAACAATTTACTGCCGACACCAATACCCAGCTTACTGCCGACACAAATACCCAGCTTACTGCTGACACAAATACCCAGCTTACTGCAGACGCAAACAATTTACTGTTGACACAAACACTTTCATGTGGTTTAACAATATTACAATTTTGAAACTGAAAATGTATATTTATTGGTTCAGAAGGACTAACCTAAACATTATTATCACCTTATGTTGGATATTTTGGGGAGAAATTCTTGTTTTGGAAATTTTAATTGGGTGGTTTTAAAAATAACTAGGATCTATGAAACAGACCTGGGATGTCATCTGTCTCGTTCATTAGGGACCTGTCTGTTCATTAGGGACCTGCTGTCTCCATAAATGTCAGCGGCAATAACTACTGTACACAGGAAATGTATTCCCGTGTACCCTTGGCAGCGGATCAATACTACCAATAGGATTTTGATTCAAAACAAATTGGTATTCAAAGGACTTATATAGTTTGGGCCTTTTTTAGCCCCCAAAATCCATCGAAATTAAAAATCTTCAATAGAGCTTTGAAAGGACTATTTCTTTAATTTTGATTACTTCCCTGGTACTATTATGTAAACATTTATTTCTGTTTTCAGTTATGGATGCCAAGGTAACCAGTTAATATTTGCAAAAATTAATGAAATTTGAATATTCAGTCAATTTTGACAGGTTTTTCGCCTAGGTTTTCTCTTAGCTACCATAGAGTGCACTCTTGAACAAACTTTGTATTTCTCCATTCCATGCTGTATCTGTAACCAATGGTCAAACCACCCCGTAAAACCATGGTCTTACCATATGCTCTGTCTGTAACCTAAGGTCAAACCAATCTGTAAACAATGGTCTTGCCATGCTGTCTGTAACCTATGGTCAAACCACCCTGTAAACCATGATCTTACCATGTTATATCTGTAACCAATGGTCAAACCACCCTGTAAACAATGGTCTTATCATGCTCTGTCTGTAACCTATGGTCATACCACCCTGTAAACTCTGGTTGAACCTGATGCTGTCTGTAACCTATGGTCATACCACTCCGTAAACAATGGTCTTACCATGCTCTGTCTGTAACCTATGGTCAAACCAACCTGTAAATAATGGTCTTACCATGCTGTGTCTGTAACCTATGGTCAAAATACCCTGTAAACAATGGCCTTACCATGCTGTATATGTAACCTATGGTCAAACCACCCTGTAAGCAATGGTCTTACCATGCTCTGTCTGTAACCTATGGTCAAACCACCCTGTAAACAATGGTCTTACCATGCTGTATATGTAACCTATGCTCAAACCACCCTGTAAGCAATGGTCTTACCATGCTGTGTATGTTACCCATGGTCAAACCACCCTGTAATCAATTGTCTTACCATGCTGTATCTGTAACCTATGGTCAAACCACCCTGTAAATAATGGTTGAACCTGATACTGTGTCTGTAACCTATGGTCAAACCACCCTGTAATCAATGGTTGAACCTGATACTGTGTCTGTAACCTATGGTCAAACCACCCTGTAAACAATGGTCTTACCATGCTGTGTATGTTACCCATGGTCAAACCACCCTGTAATCAATTGTCTTACCATGCTGTGTATGTTACCCATGGTCAAACCACCCTGTAAATAATGGTCTTACCATGCTGTGTCTGTAACCTATGGTCAAACCACCCTGTAATCAATGGTCTTACCATGCTGTGTCTGTAACCTGTGGTCATACCACCCTGTAAACTCTGGTTGAACCTGATGCTGTGTCTGTAACCTATGGTCATACCACCCCATAAACTCTGGTTGAACCTGATGCTGTGTCTGTAATCTATGGTCAAACCACCCCATAAACTCTGGTTGAACCTGATGCTGTGGTTGTAACCTATGGTCAAACCACCCTGTAAACTCTGGTTGAACCTGATGCTGTGTCTGTAACCTATGGTCATACCACCCTGTAAACTATGGTTGAACCTGATGCTGTGTCTGTAACCTATGGTCAAACCACCCTGTAAACTCTGGTTGAACCTGATGCAGTGGTTGTAACCTATGGTCAAACCACCCTGTAAACAATGGTCTTACCATGCTGTGTTTGTAACCAATGGTCAAACCACCATATAAACCATGGTCTTACCGTGCTGTGTCTGTAGCTGATGGTCAAACCACCCTATAAACCAAGGTCTTACCGTGCTGTGTCTGTAACTTATGGTCATACCACCCCTTAAACTTTGGTTGATTCTGATGCTGTGTCTATAACCTATGGTCATACCATCCCGTTAACTTTGGTTGATTCTGTTGCTATGTCTGTAACATATGGTCTTACCACCCTGTAAACTTTGGTTGATTCTGATGCTGTGTCTGTAACCTATGGTCATACCAACCCGTTACTTCACTGGTACAGTACATACACTGTAACACACACCG